GATGATGATGATGATGATGATGATGATGATGATGATGATGATGATGATGATGACTTGCATTTCTCTCCGTTTCACAGATGCTCCGGCAACCAGCGCGTGCTTCCCCAGCTGCTGTTCCCTCACGTGGAAGGTTCGAACGCCCGGTACAGTGCTAGTCAGTGCTCACTCCCCATTGGCACCGGCGACTGGGAGATCGAGCGCAGTATTCCTGTGACTCCAAACTCCGGAGCTGGACTTGACGGCGTATACCGGAGCACAATCACCCTTGCTTACAGCCTCGACGGAAACTTTAATACAAACAATGCTCAGTCATTGCAGGTATGACTTTTTGACACTCGGCTTTCTTCTTGACTGATGCGTCAATTCGGGAAATGATAATCAATATCGTATAAACGTCTGCATGCATTTTGTCTTGTTAAGGCATAATGTGTGCTTTTTTACATTCTCACTGGAAAAAAATGGAGAGCTAAAGGGGTAAAGGTAGACCAAGAATGCATTGCTTAGAGGACGTGATCAGATGGTTGTCTGGAAAAGACCAAGACAATACCAAGGAGTGGGGACGGGTTTGAGAGCTCCCAAGAGGAGGAATGAGTGGCGAACAAAGAGCGCCGATGTCTGTTTCAAACATGGCACTTAAAGATGGCTTGGTCAGGATGTAGCACCCCTTACAGTACAAAAGAATTGCAATTGAATAATATAGCTTCTGTTTTTTTAGTAACTCGTAACATGTCAAATTAGAAAGGCTGCTCATAAAAAAATTGAAAATGTTTAACACCCATGTGGTTTTATGTTTTGCAGACGTATAGTCGTACAAATAGCGAACGTGATTTTTGTCTTTAAAAATGTAGTCCGCAACTGGAAACAAAAATTAGAAACCAGAAAGAAGTGTTTAAGACCCTCTTAACTTTTAGACGAACCCCAGTTCCATTTAAGACAAAAAAAATTAACCTCATGGTAGATTAGCCAAAAATCAAAATTTTAAGACCTACTCTGGAACCAAACAAATATGCTAAGTTGAATAGTAGTATCGTGAAATGTTCGGCTTCCTCATTTGCGCTCGTATTTTAGAAACTAACATTATTGTTTTGCAGTTGAACTCTACTTTCACTGGTCGCCAAGCTGTGTGTGAGTCTCTCAGCATCACCCACGTCAAGACGTTCGATGACAAGTAAGGTTTTCGGCTTGACTCTTCGTATGCAGTGCATTAGAAAGAAAAGCGCTCTTCATATCCATTTTGATTGCCGATATGTTTGTTGATATGCTTTTTTCTGTCTCATCGTTGAAGTAAATTCTTGTTTCTGTTGTTGTTATTGTTGTTGTTGTTGTTGTTTTTATTGCTATTATTATTATTATTACTATTATTATTAGTAGTATTATTATTGTTGTTGTTGTTGTTGTTGTTGTTGTTGTTGTTTTTGGTGATGATATTGATCGGGAGAGGGGGGTATAGTGATGACTATGATTTTCTATTGGATAAGACTTGTACGAAAAGGTTCTGCTTTTTTTCAATGTCACAGAATAGGGAATCTTCATACGTGCTAAAATTATACTATTCTCTTGTTCCTTCATTTCTGAAAGATTAAATTCCCCAAAGCCCCCCTCCCCCCAAGAAATATAGTACACACAGAGAAAGACACACGCACAAACACACACACACACACACACACACACACACACACACACACACACACACACACACACACACACACACACAAACACAGACACACACACGAGCACACAGAATCACTCGTACATACATAATCACTCTCACATACACACATTCACATATACACAAACGCTCACACACATAAACACACAGCGCGCGTGCAATCATGTTTTTCTTTTTTGTTTCCGAAAGGAAAGAAGATGATATTATTATTGTGATGGTTTATCCCAAAAGTGCATCCCTTTGTTGAAAGTAGAAAAGGGCTTTTTCATACTATCAGAACTATGGATGAGTACTCATTTAGCACTTCCCTCCTGCATCCCTCTATGCATTCACCCCCTCCCCCGTCCTCCCTTTTTCTCGTTTATAAAATGAAAAAACCCCACTAAACTTCTAACAATTGGCCTATTAACCGTGTTTTCTTCATAGGTGATTTATGTATGTAATTAGTGTTGTACGCGTTTTCCCTTACTCTTTGTGACGTCTTAAAAGATCTATTAACTAATATCTGTCCTATTTTGGAGCCATGTAACATGGGATATTTTTTTCTTTTCCAGGCGATACGAAAACTATGTGCAAGGTGAATTTGTGCTGTACCAACACACGACATTGCCTTTTGAGGTACGAGGTTTTTAACTTGTGTTCGCAAAACGAGAATAAAGAGAAAAAATATTTTTCTTAAAATACTCCTCTTTCTGCTCGTAGCTATTATAATAGTGACATCTATGCCTTGGCCTCTGCCCTGGTACAAGTTCGGCGTAAAAGGTGTAATAGATAGGATTTGACAACGACAATGACAAAGACAGTGACAATCTTTATTTATCTCAAAGGGAGAAATTTGTCTTGGTCGTTAACAATGGCAGTAGACGTTACAACGGTTAGGTGCACTCTCGCATACGCACAACAAGACAGGACATTAGTAAATACACGTCTCACGTGCTGGGACAACCCGCTCCGTAAAACATTCTCTCTCTCTCTCTCTCTCTTTCTCTCTCTCTCTCTCTCTCTCTCTCTCTCTCTCTCTCTCTCTCTCTCTCTATCTATCTATCTATCTATCTCTCTCTCTATCTCTCTCTCTCTCTCTCTCTCTCTCTCTCTCTCTCTCTCTCTCTGTAACATTTGTAGCACTGTGCGTTCAGTAACCTCACTGCAATTTCCGAACGCAGAAACTTTGGGTTCCATTCTCACATAGAGAAGTGGAAGTTATTTTCTCGAGTATCTCATGGTCGGGTTTGATTCGATATGCATGCCGAAGCATCATGCCTCCTAAATGACTTAAATGATCTTGATACTTATGTCGATGAAGGCAAAACATTTCACACTTATTTTACAATCCCATGTTACAGATCCGCACATTCTGGAAGGATTGTGAAAACGCCAACAATGGAGCACAAAGAGCTCGCTGTCAGTGTGGCGTGGCTGCAAGAATAGGCGATGACGTCATTTTGCTAACTAGATGTATGGGCGAAGACAGGATGGTTCCCAAACTGTTCACTGGCAAAACCCCAGCAGAGAAGTTCTATGCAAGAAGCTACTATGATGGGATGCGGTATGAGGTGAGTTATGAAAGGTGCTATGTGGTGGGCCAGCAAAATCAAAAGTTCCAGAGAGCAAGTAGAAAATCCCTTGCACATATTCTGTTCTGTTCTTCCACTGATTTGCTTTTTTCCTTCCAATTCGTGCTTCTATCGACACTAGTCATTAAGTCCTCAGTAATGACCACACGGCGGTTAAAACTATGTGGGGACAAGCAGTAAGATTCATGTGAAGAAGAACACAAAATATTGATGAATGGCTGTGCTGTTTGTTGGGTTTGATTTATCAGCTCTCATGGTCTAGAGATACAGTTTTCGCCTTTCATTCCCGGATTTGAAAACTGACAGCGATTAAACATTTCCATCTCTAAAATGTTCTCCTATCACTTCATTTCCTTTTCTGTGGTCATGCTGCGTCATTTGCTTTCATCTCCACTCCCCCTCCCCACCCCCCACCCCAGGTCTCCACTAAGCTCCTCTCCCCTTTACTCCCAACTCTCTTTACTGCTACTCCTGGCACCTTCGTACTGCTCTCTTCCCGCCACACCCCTGATCTTAAGGTAGGTAAGCTCGAACGCCTAGCCTTCTCGGATAAAGGCAAAAAAATCTCAGAGGTCACGAGTACAAGTTGCACACGTCCTAAAATCGATAAGAGTAGAATTCGGCCGCCATCCGGGCAAAATTCAAAACCAATTCCTACCAAAATTGAATAAACTCTAGTCAGTATAAAAATATGCACAGGACCTTGGAAATAGATAAGTGGCTGTTAGAAGGCAAGAGGCCCTACCAAGTAGAAAAAACGGTCACATACATGAAAATCAGTTGCACCGCAGGTTGAAGAACCAGCAGTCGACGACTCCTCAGATCTAGCAACTACTTCTGGAAGGAACAACGGTAGTCAATTTCCAGTATACTTTGCACCTCTGATTGTACAGCTAGGTATTGAATGCGTTCAAACTTTCGTCCAGCAAGCTTGCATTCTTTTAGGATAGGAAATAACCAGAAGTCACAGAAAGCAAAGTCAGGACTGTAGTCTCGAAGAGACCAAATTTGGATCCCTTGCTCTTGTATGTACAGATTTGTGGTCCTTTCTTTAAGGGAAGCTGCATTGTAGCTTATGGGCATTGTGCAAAACAAGTCCACTTTGGTCTCTGCTCATTATTTGTCAGTTGGGGCAGTACCTTTTATACATCTTAAGAATGAAAGATAACAGTAATATGTGGCATGATACTGGCCACAATAGAACCGCTGTAAAGGAAGAGACAGTAAAAAGACCCTTTCTGCTTTGAAAGCCTGGACGCAAAACGACAGGCCTGTCTCCTTTTTTTTCTTCTATGCACATGCAACTCAGCCGTTTTGATGTGACAGCAAAAGAAAGGAATTCACGTTGTGTTTTTCAAGACAACATTCTGTAAGTCGTTCTTTAATAACGTAGGCCACGGTCAGGCCATATGGCTTCAAACAGGTTGAGCATTTTTGTGACACATTCCACCCTCTCTTTTTAGGCTCATTGGTGAGTTAATTGGATATCCAACAGGCACACACTTTTTACATATTATGGAGCTCTCCTTGAATATTTTGCACCAACCCAAACAAAAGTCACAACATATCACTAAATATTTGTTTATTTTTGTTGGGTTTATTTGTTAAGAGGTATAGGGGATTTTGCACAATATGAAGGTAGATAAATCAGCCGTTTTCTCGTTCACAAAGGAATATGGGGAGGCTAAAACAACTCCTGGACTTGGATGGCTGATGCCTCTATAAATAAGTTATTGATGGTTAAGTCAAGAGGAATATGGATGGCCAGTATGTGGGTCATCAAAACCAGTGTCTCTTCCTTCGCAAAGTTCTCTTTCTCAACGAAAAACTCTGCCGTATATGAACAGGCTAATTTTCCACAAACACTCTACAATTATTCATGAATCAGTTTTGGCAATTCGCCAAGTTTGCAGCCCATAGAGATGTAAAAATAAATATTTTCTTTTACGATGTTCGTCGTGCTTCCTTCTGAGCGCAAACTATCCTTTGTTCATGACGTCACAAAATACTCAAACAGTGACTTCACTCGAAAATACTATGGTTGGTTTGAAAGCAGACATGTTATAGATTCATTTGGGCGTCTTACTTTAAGGCTGAAGTCAATATCTTAGTCGTTAGATAGCAACTTCCATTATTTTCTGACGCACACTCGTATATTGAAGATCGACAGTAAAGATAGTAAAACAAATAAGAGCAAAAGATGTTTTGTTTTGTAGTTTTGCCCATAAAATAGTTGCTTTATCGTTACAAGATATTCTCCACGTGTGCATTTGGTAATCCAAATGGCAGGGTATTCCTATAATTGGCGATGTTATTCTATTTCAGATCACAATGCCAACAGGAGGTCGTCTCGTAGCAGAGGAAACCTATCAGGGATCGATGAACGTGTGGTATTATGCGGGTCTTGCCGATTTCAACTCAACCTCAGGCAAGTACGGATAGGCTACCGGACCAGTAATATCGTGAGATTGCTGGTTTCGGTGGTTCGAGCCTCAACTCTGTCCGATGATGTATCCCTGGGAAAGGCACTTTACACGAATTTCTATTTTGGCTGGGTCCTTTACAAGATGGACCTTCAGCTCGGTGGTCCTGGCTCTTAAATAAACTAATAGTGCTGAGATTGGTGTTAAACCTACACCATTTCACATTTTGGGGGCAAGACCGCTTAATAGTATCTTTAATAGGGAAATGTGTACGTAAAGAAATCAGAACGATTTGGGGGTCTTTTTAGGGGGGGGGGGGGGGGGGCTACAAAAACACAGCACAGAAATTACGTATAATATATCCTGCAAAATTTACTTTAGCCCTATGGTAAAAGAAAGCTTGACCGCCCCCCCCCCCCCCCCATCCTTTGACCTACTAAGCACATCTAGGGTCTCCACTATCAGTGGAGCCACATTAAGGTTCGCAGTCTAGTGATCTCTTGTGCGAAAGAACCTTTTTACTTATTTTAAAAATAGGAGGGGTCAAATTTTTCTTTTACCAATGTATTTATTATCGTGTTATATTTGAGTGATTGATGTGCCTGCTTTATAGACATCAGTAAGCCAAACCTTTGACTGACTGACGTGAATTACATGAATGCAACCTTCAAGTGACTTAAATGACTAAGACTTTTTAAACATTACTTCTTTAACCCAGGCCTTTGTGGAACATATGACTCAGACAACACAAATGACATCAGTACAACAAGGTCTGGGGTGGTCACAGCAAACATTGATGAGTTTGCGACATCATGGAGGTAAGTAAGCAAACGTAGGAGTATATCAAGACTACTTATTAGACCAGCCATTAAAACCTCTTTATGAGAACTATCGTGTTATTGTTTGTGCGACATAGTAACCCATTTACTTTTCTGGTAAAAAGCTTTGTCTTTAAGATAGGTGTGTTTAGCCGCCAGTTCAGAAAATGTGTTCTATCTTCAATTAAATATGTGCATTCAATTTTGTTTTTACAGTCCTGCTGCATTACATAATATGCCCCTATAACAAAAGACACGAAAGGCTATACCTACATTCCTACATTCTGGAATAATGTTTCCATAGAAAGTTTGCAGTTAGGACATTCTGTCATCAGGAACGGGGTACTAATATGGATATATACGCAATGGAGGTGCTGGTCATGCTTGAGAGGCGGAAGTCACAGTTGAATTATAATTTAATAATGCATGACACACTCATGAAATGTTTTCTAAGAAAGAGAGATTTGATTTCATGTAAGTCCAGGTAGGGAGCAAACAATTAATAAAAGGCATGTTACCAATTTCGTCCCTGACGGAACGTTGAAATGGGAAATAGTCTTCACTTTACAGGTAGGCTTTTGTGTGTTGGTGATTTAGTGGTTAAGCTCTGGAATTCTCAATCGTTAAGTTGTGGGTTCGAATCCCGTCAGGGTCCCAATGTTATGCCCTGGGGAAAGGCATTTTACACGTTGAACTTTGTTGAATTCCCTCCTTAACAGAGCCATAAATGCGGCAGGTGAATTTTGAAATTTGGGTGCTAATTTGTTTTTGTCCTAAGAAGCAGGCTGGGTTTAGCTTCAAACCCTCTCTTAATAAACCTATTCTCACTCGGTACATTTCCAAGACTATCTCCGTCTGTCGTTGAGGCAATATTTATAGTATGAAAGTGATGACCGTGCTGCCCAAACCGATAAATGCGAGGCACCCTCGCTAACCATAAGATATACTGCTACCGCCGTAGATGGTGAAGCTGGATCCACTTTGAGCCGAGCCGCATACCTCGTCTACTTTGTAATGCCCAGCTTGGAAAATAATACATGTCTATGGACGGAACGAAAATTTTAGCCTCTAAAATGTGGCAGAAGTAGGCTCCTGCTATAAAAAGTTTGACAAGCACTGGGCCTCCCGATCCCCCCCCCCCCAACCTCCCCTACCCCAACCCCTATTTGTAAACCACCATTGTGCGTCTTGTCTAGCGACATCGGTAAGGGTGATTTTTGTTCCCCATTTTCACGTTGCGCTATTCAGGGCTTGGCATCTCTGGGCTTCGAGTGGTCTCTAACGTAGCTGTCCTTGACGGGCAGTAGGGAAACATGATACGAGTTGTCCGATAAGACGGATAAACCACATACGGACTTCCGACGTTCTTTTTATGCCATTGTACAGTGGCTATGATTTTCTGGCCTTTTCCCTGTTAACTTTACAGTCATCTGTTGTGAACCTATTTCAAATTCCGCAAAGTAACAGAAGCCGGAAAAAGTAAAAAGTAAGTAAAATAATTTTTGGATGCAGAAATAGTCTACGTCACTAAAAACGGTCACAAGAAGCAGAAGAATGACTTAAAGCTCTCCAATAAGTGAACTCACAAATTTCGGGAACGATAACCTTGAGGTTGAGTGGGAGAGGAAAATAACAACAAGAGAGCCGCTATTTGTGAAATGACCAGCATCGCCACCACGTGTGTCCATAATTACCAAGAAGTAGCCTGCTGGCAGAGAAGTTGAAAGACTCCTGTGCTTCTAATTTTCTTTTCCGGGCGCCATGCCTCATTTCAAATAAGAAGCGACTTCAGGTGCGAACGATCTAATGATAGCAATTCATCTAACTGTAAGCAAAATAGCACGCTGAGTGTTTGAAAGTCTCGGCCTAGACTATATCATTTTGGCGTTGATGATAATAATAGAGGTTTTTAGAGAGCACTTGAGATTGCAAATGAGTGACGAACTGTGGTTACCGATATCTGTTTCAAATCTGGCGCTAGAAAAAAGGAAGGGTATCTTCAATGCATTTTTAAAAAACATTTTCATCCAGGCAAGTATATCTGCCGTTAAGTGTGACATTTGCCTCATGTTTCTTATATGGCGCCATGAGACCTTGATTTGACAAAGAAAGAATAAAGCAAATCATCTGTGTCGGATGTGTGGTGCTACCACAGAATGGCCAGAATTTGCTGGAAAGCAAAATAAAGACAAGCAATGAGGTGTGTCAGATTTTCCATACGAAACGAAACGGAAAAAAAGAAAAATGCAATATTTCGTCATATAAGACGCTACCAGACCATTTAGAAGCTAATACTAAAAACCAAGATAATATGGGGCAGAATGCCTAAGGCTGGACAACGAACAATAAGGGTGGACAAGGAACAATGTGGATTGACTGCACTGAGGCATGGACATGTGGCCGAGAGTAATACGGCAGCTAGTGAACAAAGTAGTGGCTGGTTATTTCAAGGCAACCTCTGAGCAACAGATGACACCTCCAGATCCCGGTTAAGATTATTTTGACCGCGTTCATCTATAACATCAAAGGTTTCATGGTTCATTATAATCGGATAACACAAACGATCTTGTGTTCAGGTCACTCCACCTACAGGGGAATTGCATCATTATTATGTGAAAAATATAATGTCGACTATCTATTCAGATGTATACTAAATTTTGAATACTTTTATTGCAGCCCGTGGCATCGATCATATGTACTAATATTCTGCGAAATTAATATACTAAAAGTTGAAAAGAGCAAGACAGGATACATCTCTCTCTCTCTCTCTCTCTCTCTCTCTCTCTCTCTCTCTCTCTCTCTCTCTCTCTCTCTG